GCTTTTTCATTTTATGTTTTAAATGTTTGTGTTGCCAAATCCTACAAGTATATATTTATATATTTTGTTTTATTTCCCTTTTTCCTTCTTTTTTCCTTTTCTGTTCAATCCTTAAGTTGTATATGTAACCCAACACCTAACTTGCTTCTTCATTGACAGGGATGTGATGTCTTAAAACTTTGTGTGTTCCTTTTTGCAATTAAATTAATGCAGGCAGCCAAAGAAGAGGGAGCTATGCTCTTTTATTTTCAAATCATATCATGTTAAAACTATTTTGCTATCTTAAAAGACATTAACTTACCTAGAATATAATTATTTATTGTTTTTAAATCATATCATCCAAACTGCAGGAGCTTCCTGATGAGAAGTTGTTATACAGAGACCTTCTTTCACCAGGTTGCATCATTTATTTTATCCAGTATTTCTCAAAGCTTTATGGAGCCGACTAGTTATGGACATGAAAAGACAGCGAGGGACCATTTAGGCTCTGAATGCTGCCGCTTTTTAGGTTCCTGTTGAACCGGCAGCTAGAAATGCAGCAGCCAGTGGAGGCAAAGGGTTTAATTACATGTGGTGTTCCTCAAGGCTGTGATCTCGGGACACTTTTATTCAATATATCTTTGTTTTTCCAACAAGACAAAGATAAATTGATAATGAAATTGTGGGACATTTCTTGTTTACATTTGGTGTTCCTCAAGGCCATGTTCTTGGGACACTTTTATTGAATTGATCTATATAATATGAGTTGTACTATATAAAAAGCAGAATAGAATAGATATTTTGTATATTGTGGGAAAATGTATGCCTAACAGCTTCAGCTATATATTTAGGTCCAGAAAACAAAATCAATAAGTGTCAAAAACATATATAAAAAACAAGAATAATTAACAATAATATAGCATACAAGATAAAGTAAAATATATCATTTTTTTTCTGGACTATTAATTAAAAAAGTTTAAAATAAAGGACCTCTCTTCTGACATCAGGAAGCAGCTGTTAGTAACAGAAAAATAACTGTAATCTTGGCGTTTAGTACTATTTATACTGTAACTTTGTTTAATAATAAGTGGAACACTGACCAACATTTTTGATGTGTGTTGATGATTTTAACAATGTCACTTTACAAATTGTAAAAATATCTGTTCCAGGTTTTCACAGTTGTTGACTTTCTGATGTTTTCTGTTGATGAAAGTAGCTTAAGCTAAATGAGCATCTGTTATTGATGAACTAAGAAAATGAAAAAGAGAGTTTCTATGTAAAATTGAAAACAGGAAGGATCTCTTGTAACACCCCTTTGTGCATCCAGGATGCAGCAGTTTGTCAGCTTAAATTAATCTGGTTTTTTGCTTTGTTGTGATTTGTTTGAGTTGTTTTTTGCGATTCCGGCGCCTCACTCACGTCCCGTCCCGCTTTCTGTTTCTGCGTCTCTGCAGGCAAGCGGCCGCACCAGTGCCAGATCTGCAAGAAAGCCTTCAAACACAAACACCATCTCATCGAGCACTCGCGGCTGCACTCCGGAGAGAAGCCGTACCAGTGCGACAAATGCGGGAAGCGCTTCTCCCACTCGGGCTCCTACTCGCAGCACATGAACCACCGCTACTCCTACTGCAAGCGGGAGGCCGAGGAGCGGGAGGCGGCGGAGAGGGAGGCCCGGGAGAAGGGCCACCTGGAGCCCACCGAGCTGCTGATGAGCAGGGCGTACTTGCAGGGCATGACTCCTCAGGGCTACCCGGCGGAGCTGGCGGAGCGCGACGCCATCCTGAGGCACGACGGCGTGAACGGAGGGATCAGGGCGGAGGGGCGGAAGGAGGTGGACGGAACGTATGCGAAGATAGGACGGAGGGACGAGTTCGAGGAGGAGGAAGAGGAGGAGAGCAAGAGCATGGACACGGACCCGGACACGTTGAGGGACGAGGAGGAGAACGGGGAGCACTCGATGGACGACAGCTCGCTGGACGGCAAAACGGAAACCAAATCGGATCACGAGGACGCCATGGAGGACGGCATGTAACGGACGGTCTTCAGGAAGCTTCCCATCTTACAGTTTTCAGTTTGTCTCTTTCGGTTCGGCATTCTCACCTGCTCGGTTTAAAACGCCCCGCCGCGTTTTAAGCTGCACGTGCCTGAAGCTTCCGGGAAGCTCTCTTTGGGACGACGTCTGCCGAAGCGGGACGCAGGACTCCAAAATCAGTGGCGGGTTTGTGAAATAAGCTGCATTATGCAAACCGAACAACGAAGAAATGAATAAAAATGTACAGTACTAAGGCCTAAATCAACGTGTGGTGCTAACCTCCTGTGTTCCATAGTATTTATAGCACAACTAGTGACTTGTACAAATTGCACTCCGCTTCTATAATCATGAACAAAAATAATAAAAAGTATTGCCTATGTATATATTTATACAGTGTTGGAAAAGAGCAGTATTACCTGCACTGCAGTCCTTCAGTATTACCACCTACCTGCGTTTTTCGATGTCGTCTTTATTTCTCCAAACATCTCCAGCCGCACTGTTTTAGGCCTCTTGAATCAAATGAAGGAATTTAAACTGTGTTTTGATTTGTTTTTTTAAAGAAGTTTTAAAGAGACTTTCGTTTTAAGGGAAAATTACAGTTTATGGACGGGATAAAAAGAAGAAAACGATGAAGGACGAAGCCTTTGTAAGGTGTTTTTGGATAAGAAAAAAGAAGCCTTATATGCAAACCTTTTAACCTGTGTGTTTTTCTGCAAGTGCCACCCTCGTATTGTGTAAAAGAACGGTTCGGTTTCTTATTTTTGGTTTTGTTCTTCTTCACCAGCTTCAGTATTATGATGAGATGGTTCACCGTTGTTCTCCGAAGCACCGTGTCAGTATTAAAGACGTATAGGCAGACGTTTTCCTTTAGTTTACATTATGTTGTGCAATGTTTTCTCAGCTCTTTTCTTTTTAAACTCTCTCAGTATTACAACCAAACCGTTTTTTTTTTCGTTTTTTTTTATTATTTATGTGGCCCATTTTATATTTCCTAATTTTATTTATTTCATACTGTTGTGTACAGTACTATAGTTCTTCAATATATAGATATATTTTAGTAAAAAGGAACATGTTGTCGATCATAGGGGCAAATTTTACGTAAAAAAAAAAAAGAGCATTTATTGTGTTTTGAAACATTGTGAAGTTTTAATCTTATTTTATTTTATTTTTTCTTTTACTTTCCAGTTACTGGAAGAAAAAATCCAAAATTTGGGAACTTTTATACAATTGTGAAGACACTGTATTTTCGACTGAAAAAAAATTCCACTTTCTTCATCTTTGTTTTCTTTTTTTAAGCTGAAAAAACAATGAAGAGGGACTGTTAAATACTATGTATGATATGATGACTGAAGAAGAAATCTTTCCTGAAATGTCTTTGTAAAAGTATTATGAATTCTTAATTTGTAATTTTCTCTTGAAGATGACCCTGCTCGAATAAAAAGTAGCCAAATTACAGAGTACCGAACCCTTCAGCGCTTCGTTTTTCCTCACATGCAGCATCTTCCTGCTCTCACATCCACATTATTGCAGAGCTGCAGTGGATGAAGCTTCTGCTGCTCATTATTATGTTAATTAGATACAGTTTCGGTGCTCCTTTCCAGGCGGATCAAAGCGAATTGACCTCAGCGCTGTGGCTTACGTCTCATTTAGATAAAGCTAAACATAGATTCCGCATATTTCCACCTGTTTATGCTTTAAACAATAATAATCAACAAGTTTTTAATAATTTATACGCTTCCCTCTGTCAGTAGGATCCTGTAGAGACGCAACAAACGCAAACGTCTTAATCCGCTGCAGAAAATAGTGCCTCTTAAAAGCTTCTAGTTCCAGAACATTTTACATTGCAGATGACTTTTGGGAAAAAATAAGATTTTTATTGCAAAATTAGTTTGCGATTCATAATTTTTCTTAAATAATAAAAAAAGGAGTAACTTAAAAAATGTTAATGTTTCACTTATTTTCATATTTTAAAATAAGATTATTACAAAATGTCTGTTTAGAGAAAATTTATTTTTTGTCGGCAAGAATTGAAAAAAGTTTGTTTTGGTGAAAATGATTTTTTAAGTTCAAAAATTAAATCCTTCACTTTTAAAAATGTAATTTTTTTATTTTAATTTTTAAAATTGAGTCAACTTCTGTTCATTTTTAAATGTGAGATATTTCTCCAAAAATTCTCATAATTTTCCTTGAAACAGGAAAAAGTAACATAAAGAAGTGATGATAAATGTTTTACTTATTTTGATATTTTAAAAAAATATTAGATCTACATGTTTAAATTTATTTAGAATGTCTTTATATTATTGGGACCATCTACTGTGGTCCCAATAATTGTGAATAAACAAAGAACAGAAAATCAATTTAAAACTATTTTCTTTTAGACATTGTTTAAAGCACATATTTAAATTCAAAGATACAATTTATGTGGATCATCTTTGTTTTGGAAAGTCATAATTAATTTGTTTTTCTTAATGTAAACATAGTTTTATTTTATTTCCTTAAGGAAAACTTTTACCATTTCTCAAAGGAATGTAGGAAAAAAAATTACCTTCATATTGACAAAAAATGTATTTATATAAAGTGTTGGAGTAATTAACAAATTCAAAATAATTCAAAATAAATTTTTATTTGTATCGGAGAAAAAACGACCAGCTTCATCCCTGAAACATTGAATAGCACATATTTGGGTGGTAAATGCTAATATCTGCAGAAAACCTTTACTTTATGTTAATAAACATTAATTTAATATTTAAAGAAAATCAGACATTATTTCATTTCTACAAAAACCTAAAGACCAAAATCTTGCAAATCTGCTCAGAAACAGTTTAGTTAACCCTCATCAATCAGTAAAATTAAATAATAATAATAATAATAATAATAATAATAATAATAATAATAATAATAATAATAATAATAATAATTTTTCATCCATCAAATCCAGAAGTTCTTTGTGAAAGAACTTCTGGATTTGTTTTGCTTTTCCTTTCCGTTGGTTCTGGAAACATGGCGGCGGACCGGAAGTGACTTTATGGCGAATCGGAAGTGATTCCATTCTACCGTCAACAGAAGCAAGAGAGCTAAATTCGCTTTAAAACTTCTTCTTGCTTGTTTGTGTGAGTATTTGCGAACGTCATGAGTTGATTTTGAGTGGCATAAGCTATGAAAATATTTGTTTTGTTCGCTCCACCTTCAAACGAGCTTCTATCTCCTCAAAATGCTCGTAGTTTCATGGGTTAATTTGTATATTAGCAGCTAATTAGCTAGCACAAGGCTAGCTCTTGTTTTTCGCACTGCGGTCGTTTATACTGTTGTTTACATTATGCTGTAAAGTGTTCAAGGAGTAAACTGTTTGCTTTATAGTTTGCTGGTGAAATCAAGCAAATTGGTGAGGACTCTTTAGAGGTTTAAATGCACTAAAAGCAGCAATTTAGTTTTTCTTTGTTTACAGTTTAACTGCTATGAACCATAACAATAATAAAAACAGCTTGTGTTCTTTTTAGACACTTTGTTTTTTATTCAGAAGCAAAACAACAGGAGTTTTTCCAGTGTTGTTGACAAATATTTGACTTTACATCAACCTAAACAGAACATCTGTTACATTTGTGTGTGAATCCAACAAAACAGGAGATTTTATGGATTTCTTTTTAGCTTTTATTGTTCATAATTGTTCCTAAATGATCAGAGGTGATAATTCAGGTATCTGATTCGTCAGAGGAGTGCCTCGTTTTGTGATTCTCCTCCTGAAACGCTCCCCTGCCGATGGCAGGTGGATTCCAGCTGAGAGGTCCTCTCCGGTGGACGAGATGCTCGTCTCCATCAGCCACTCAAGCCGCTTTCGCTCTGTGGAGTGAAAGCAACTTCAAAAGGCAGAGATGAAAGCGCCAAAGGTTGTGCGATGCCAAAAGACCAGAACGCGCTCTGCATATTCTGATTTTCCTATCGATCGTCCTACCGTCGGATCATTTGTGATAAAAGCAGGGAAGGGGGTGTCTTAAATGATTAGCTGATGAATTTGATGATGCGCTGTGAACAATTAGAAATGCAAAGAAAAAGAAGAGAGAGTGAGAGTTCATGTAGAGATGGGCAAAGAGGGAATCCTCTGGAGTACATCACTATCATTAGGGGAGAAATTTCAACCTTCCTCTGCTTTTACATTTTACATCTGTTAGATTCCGACTCTCCAACTTCACAGGCAACTAATAGGGAGGTCAAAGGTGGGAGATGGATGTGATGAAACATTCCTGCAACCCCAGAGTGGTGGAGAGGCTGACGTAGGAAACGGGGAGAGGAAATTTACATTCATTAGGCCGCGCTCCGTAGAGGGAGAAGCGGGGAAAAAAAGGTGTGGAAGAAAGAGACTTTTTCATGCGAAACATTTCCGAAGGTTCTCAGATGGAGAAAGGTGGACCGGTCCCTCTGGGTTTGGAGGTGGGGGAAGGTGGCGTCTCAACTGGACGGTTAAAGGATCCCAGCGTCTTGGACCGGAGACGGAAATGCCTACAATGACTTGAACTGCAGTGATGGAGGGAATGCTTCACTCTGGGAAAGTTTTCATTACTGTCATTACATTCATTACAAACATGGAGAAGGAAACCATACGGACGGATGGATGGATGGAAAGATGGATGGTTAAATGGTTGGATATCTGCTTCGTGGCTCCGCCCCTCTCCTCTCACTGCTCCTTGGCTCCGCCCCTCTCTGCTCCCGTCCTCCATCTTGCCCGGCCCTCTCTGATGCTGATTGGCCGTGATGTGCGGCGGCGCTGGGAGTTCGTAGAACATGCAAAAGGCAGGAAAAACAACAAGCAGGCGTGTAGTAGTAATTCATACCAGAGTCATGCCGCCATATGCCCCGTCCAGATTGGTGGTGTGTTTTGGACAGCTGAGCTCTGATGATTCACTGCTGGGCCGCGCTTAGACCAAAGCTAAGTGTACGTTTTGCCTCAGGCTACTCTGCTGCTTCCACTGATTATCTAAGCAGTGAAACCGACTCGCTTTAAAAACACTCATCTGTCATTTTCTTACTCATCTTCTCCAGCTTTGGTGTTTCACCTGCGTCCCTTTGTCCTCTAAAGGAGAACATCCACATTTCTGCTCATTTATTGGGAGAAAAAATGAGCAGAATGGAAAAATGGAGGAAGTTTAGCCACACAATGAAAAAGAAGGAAACGTAAGAGTGATAGAGCATGACAGAACACAACGGAGGCTAGCGTATGAAAATAGGTCTGAGGTTTTGCTGAGAAAAGATGTTTGTTTTTTTCCATCTTAAAGTCAGGCTGGGCTCTGCTGGAGAGCAGATTAGCGCCTGAAATAAACCAACAGCTTTGAACCTAATGAAGAAAGGACCAGGCGGCACAGAAAAGAAAAGAAACCAGGTGCTTTCAACCAATAAAGCTCAAATTCCCTCCAGAAGGTGTTCGGTTTTGGAGTAGCTTCTTTAGCTGGAAGCTCAAATAACACCTGACCTTTGACCCCAAGCCCCAGAGGAGTTGAAAGGAGGAATGATGGATGCAGATCGGGATCAATCAGGAAAAATAAACCACCTCTTCCATCAATCTTAACAGGCAAAGATCATATCCCCTACTCCAACATCTCTCTGCGAGACAAATATTTAAACAGCTGTGGCAAAAGCAAATGAGGTGGATTAGCAACAACTACCCAGATTTTGAGCAAGTAGCATATCATAGAGTCATGCGGCAATTATCTTTGGTCAGAGGCCTCTTCAGATTTGTTGCAAGACTGACTGCTACAGGAGAGCATCATTATGCACTGAAATTAGGACATTTTATTTCCCTGTCATGTGGGTCAGTTAGTTGAATAAAGAGGAGGAAGGAATATATGATGGACTGAAGAAGATCTGAATGAAAGCTGGTTCCTGATTAAAGCTCAGAGCTTTAGGTGTTAGCATCAGGGTCTTTGTTTTCCCATCTGATGGGTGTGAACAAGGAGAAAGCAGAGGAGACTCTCACATTCGACCTCATTAAATTATTCACGTGTGCAGGCCGGTCCACTGGCGGGGGGCTGGTGAAGGACGAGGCTGGGCGAAGAGCGCAGGAGGCAGAGATCGCTCTCGTCTGACCTGGCACTGGCTGGGAGAAAGTTCAATGACACGCAAGGAGGAAGAAAGTGCAACTGACCAGCAGGGATTAACCAATCAGATTGTCAGAAGAGCAGCCAGCTGTTGGTTCTGGCTGGACTGGAAAGAGGCTCGGAGCAGGTGGTGGAGCCCGGTGCCAGCGGTGCCACAGAGGGCAAAGAGAACACCATAAAATACACTTAAACTGGGTGTTTTACTGCTACACTCTTCCTCTCAAGCATTGTTTCTCAATTTTCAGCGTATTTTACAGAGATTTGAGGTGCTTGATGGTGAAGAGGAACAAAAAGAGCTGGCGTCGTCGATCCTCAGGGTTCTGCAAAGACCTCAGAGGATTGTTGGAGAACATTGGACAACGTGGAGGTCAAGGAGCGATGGTGATGGGTCAGGGAGGAAGATGCAGCTGCAGTGATCCCAGTGGTGGACACAGCTACCTAAAAAGTTAGCCTCACTAAGCCTTGAGCAATAATCAGAAACATTAGTAACATGTAAAGCTAAATGGCTACAACAGCGCAATATTGAGTGCTGAAGCTCCACTGAGTTAGTGGAGAGGCCAGAAACTTTGATCTGCAAAGATTTTTCTCAAATCACTGAAAACCATAAATTATTTTCCTCCTTCCTTCTCAGCTTTGTGCCAATTCTCTCACATGTAGTCCTAATTAAAACCTTGCAGTTTGTGTTTGTAACGTTTTTGCGGCGCGCCTTGCCAGGGAACATCTCTAAAGAAAGTACCTGCTGCTTCTCCAACATGGCTCAGGCCTCTTTCACAGATTGTTTCCTACATTTTCCTGTAAGCAGGATTTCTGGAGGCGAGACGGTGTGAGAAACGTCTCCGTCTCCTCCCGGGAATACGGCAGCTGCACAGCACCACAAAGACAACAATGCGCTCCCTGTCGAAGGGGGAACGAAGGCGGGAGCTTGCTACACCTTGGTGGTGTTGGACAGTTCTGTGAGCACCCCGCGTGGATTTTTATTAATTTACATTTATGCTTTTGTGAGCTTGCTGTCACTGAAACCCCGTTTGGCAACAGCTAACTGGACTCCTGCTGAGATCTGGGACTCTGCTGCTGGAAATATCCTCCCAAAGGGAAGTTTAGCTGTTCACTGAGAGAAGTGACAAACAGGAAGCAAGAAAAAAGGTCAAAGAGAGGCTGGTTTTCCTTTAAAACGAGAAGAAGAATCCACCTGCTAGCCACTTTGTCAACACCAATCATCTCTAAAAAGGTTTCTTATATTGTGAACCTGGAGGTTCAGTCCAGGGGAAACTTTAATTAAATGAGTCTCACTCCTTGTCTTCAGTCGTTGTGTTCATCCAGTCCATCTTTGTCATTTTTATTACAATTTTTCTAAACTTTTGTGTATTTTCCTTTGATTTGTTTTTAAAAAAATATAATTTAGTCCTTTATTTTTAAAATTTCATTAAAACATTAAAATAAATGTTTTATTTTTGTTTTCAAAATTGTATTTCTACCTTTACACATTTTTTAAAATTATGTTTCTAAATATTTAGTTTATTTTTTGACGTATTCTTGTCTTGTTTTGAAAATAATGAAAGTGTAATTTTGTGCTTTCAGAGGCGAGATGAGACGTTGAACCTGTTTGTCTTCAGCTGAGTCGGGTAAGAAAGAACCTTCCTCTGTTACTTCCAGCTCAGATCAGATGTTTGCATGGCCTCAAGTCAGAATAATCATAAAAATAATAGTAAAATAGTCGTAATAGGGCTACCAAAACAAAATGATTAATTAAGAGGAATAAAATAGCTAAAGAAATGTTTTAATACATCTTTTTAAATTAAAGGATATGAAACCCAGAAATCAAATATTTTTAGATCAGGTTCTACAATTATTTCTACTTACTTTGGTCAGATGTTTCTCCATGTTTCTTGCGTCTGGTTCATGACATGGCAGTCTGCGTGTCAATGTCACTCATGCCTATAAATATGAAAGCATGTGCAGACTGTTTATGCTGCTTTGGGAGGAACATCTTGTTCCTTTGATTGGCTATCGGATCAGAAGTTTCTGGAATTGTTCGACGCGTCACGTGTCCCACGGCACTCAAAGGAAACGATCTGTCTGTCTGTCCGGCGCCCGTCTTCCCTTCAAGGGAAGAGTGATTATGTGTTTTGCCAACGCGTTTGTGGAAATCTTTTGACATGCACAAACACAGATCCTGATGCAGCGGCGGCGGCGTTTTCCTGGCTGACGGCTGATTAGGATGCCGGCTCATGGCTGGATGTGCGAGGGCCCAGCTGGGTGCAGGGAACATCGCTCATTACACGTTTTCTAGAGAGAGTGGAGGGCTGACTCAGAGCTGCTCAGCATGCCGGTGGAGGTGTAATCATATCATTCTGAATCAGCGGTCAGTTAGCCGGCTGGAGTCTGATTAAAGCCCGGTCAAAGACAGAGCGACACGTCGAGAAAACCATCGCTAACCGTCAAGGTGCGACGCTCAGAGACCCTCAGAGACCCTCAGAGAGCTGCAGCTCCTGCTAAATGAGCGCTTTCTTCTGCATGCATGTTTTATGAAGCTGGTGGATGTCTGCCTGGGCGTTCCCATCGCTGAGATCGCCACTGTCCTCTTGATTTAATTAGACGCTGGCCCCCACGATTTTCGACAAGGAAATATCTGCTCTAATTAAGCGGCGTACTTCACCAGAGGAAGAACAGGCTGGCTTTAATGTGCTCATAAAAAATCCATGATGTCTTGCCCTTTGCCCCTTTTCTCTGGGGCGTTTTTGCTGCTCCAGTCAGAAACCAAAACCAGTTTCATTCTGCCTCGGTGGAGAACAGTTTGAAGAAACATGGCTGCCGTTAGAGAAATCCAACATTCACTCTGAGCACATTTATTTATTATTTAATACATTACTCATTCAAAAGTAACAGAACTGAATATTTCTAGTCATTTTTAGGTTATTTGTAACCTTTCACATAAACGTATGTGATACCTGAATCAACCCCTGCTATCAAAACTCTCTCATCCTACCATCACAAACATAACAAAGCTCTGAGTTTACTGATCTGTTTGATGTTTCTGTTGCAGCAAGAATCATCACAAAATCAGAACAAGACGAATAAATCATAGGGAGTTGAGCACCGCGGTGTACGGAAGGCCAAGAGAGACAAAATTACATAAATGTCATGAAATAAATAAATGTCATTTTAAAAACATGCATTTTAAACAATTTTGTCAAAGAAAATCATTTAAAAATGCGTAAAATTATTGGAGTCTGTATTTAGTTTGAAATGTATGGATGAATATTGGGACCACAAAAAGAAAAAAATAAATAAATTCTGGCTGTTTTCCTCAGAATCAGAAATGTCTAAATAGTTTGTGCATCATAAGACAAATATATTCCTAAAACTCAATGTAGTGCTAAAATAAATTAGTGACAGGCTTTCAGAGGGAATGAAGTTTAGATTTACGAATCCTATGACAAGAAAGAATGTTTTATATATAGTGACAAAACAATTGAAATAACTAAGAATGTTTGACTATTTATTAGGATTTTGACATAATTGATACAGAAGTAGAACTCTGCAAAAAAATTTAGAATTTGCCGCTTAAAGTCAAAATAATAAGAAAAAAAATCTAAATTTAGTTGTTTTTTTAGTGTATCTTTTTATTGTGGTCCTAATTTTCTTCGGTAGATATTGGTAGGCAGAAATGATTTATTTTTCACTCTGTTTTGTGGATCACAGGCTGAAACGTTTGTGAACCCTTGATGCAGTTCAGCGTCTCGTTCCTACTTAAACGCAGCAGAAAATCTGAGTCCAGCTCGGTATCATTTTAGCTTTTCCTTCCACTAAACCTTCCAGGATGATGTTTAGCTACAATCTGATCTGCAAGATTCTTTACCAGTGATTTATTTCACCTGGATCAGTGTGTTCTGTCAGAAACGGGCCTCTCTGTGTTTCTGCAGAACTAATAAAGGCCCGTTTCCAGTGGAAACTGATAATTACTCCACCTCTGCAGTCCAACAGGAACTGAACGTATGTAATTTTTTAAAGGAAGCATTTCCCTCTGTAGCCTGCAGGGATTAGGCCCTAATGACACAAGTTAATTATATTAAGAGTAATTTTCAAAAACAGTTCATGAACTGCAAATTATACTTAAATTTGCTCCTTAATGCTCTTAACTGTAATTAAATTGCCTAATATCTTAAGAAAATGAACATGTGGGACAGGAGTAATGGCGGACAGAAACTTTTAGGGGTTTTGGGGGTAATGGCGGATAAAATTGGGAATATTCAGTTGCAGATAGATGTGGAGTTTGGATGTCTGGGTTGCAGAAATACTTGGCTGAGCGCCGCCTGTCCACCGCCATTTTGTCTCAGAGTTTCTAGTGTTTGCAATCAGGCGAATTTCTAACTTACTCACCAGCTTTCAGAGTGAAGGCCAGCAGGTTTTCACTGGAAGGTGAGGAAAATCTGCAGAGTTTAGGTTGGTGTTGTGTTTCTGCAGATCAAAAAGTATTATTCAATCAGAGCCGCTACGTTGTTGGCCCACTTACAGCAGCTTTTTTTTTACCTCTGAGAGACTTTTGGAGGCTTTCCGAGTCATGCCATTTGTGCAACTCTGCATATTAAATCTTGTTGGAATTTCACATTTCTAGGACTGTCTGTTCTGTTTGTGCACAAGAAAACACACACACACACACACACACACGGATGGTCTCTGCATCCTCCATCTCCACCGTGAAGCCAGACCCCCCTCGGCTTTTCTCACTCGGAACCGAGTCCAAGTTTGCACAGGAAGGCAGGGGGAAGGGGAGCGCCGTGTCAACCCGTGTGGGTGTTTTTCTTCTCTTCCTCGTACAAAAAGCCGACTCCTGATTATCCAGATCCAAACCACCTTCTGATGCCGAGCTCTGATTGGCTCTGGGAAGCAGGAAGACCGGCTGCCAAGTATTAATTTAAAGGATGCACAGAGTCCGAAGACTTCAGGGTAAACTACGGCAGCCCGGAAGGAGAAAACTTCAAAACGAGAAGGAGTCAGAGTTTAAAAAAAATACATGACTCTGCAGAAAAACTATCTGAAAACAGATTTAAAATAAACATCAACAATGACTGATAAAAGGGCAAGAAAATTCAAAGGAAGGAAAAAATCGGTTTTTCACAAGGTGGGAAAATATTTTTGTTTCCAGGTTTTGAATTTCTGAATTAAATTTTTCTTCCTGTCCATGAATCAATCTGTCCTTCCTTCTTTCCTTCCTTCCTTTCCTCTTTGTGAACGTTTCTGATGAAACTTGAAGTTGGAAACTTCAAGTTTCAAAACCTGAGCAAAAAGTTAGATTTCAAAAACAGACGCCTGTGGGACGCCATGGAAAGAAAAGAAGACATCATCAGGATGACGGGACCTGCAGTTTGAACCTCCCTCTTACTGAAGCAGCTTCTCAAGTTTGATGGTTGGAGATAAAACTTGATGTTAATCAGTTAAAACCGATCGCTATGGCGTCTAATTAAATCCCAAATTAAGTGAGAAATGTTCAGATTTAATGATTAAACTGTTGAGTGCAGTAAAATCTGCTGGTATTTCAGAAGACGTTTCATCTTCCTCATAAACCTCCTGGCCAGAATAAAACCACGCAGAGAAGCTCCTGCGTCTTCTTCTCTACCTCCACTCTCCAGTCACGTCCAGTTCCTGTGAGGACCGGCGTGTTCTTGGCGTCGTCCTGCACGTCTCATTCAGGCCTGCTTGCTGTTTGGGCAGCTTGGAGCAGTTTGCAGCTCGCTGGTGTAAATGCGTGTGCGTAGCAGCAGCTGCAGCGATCAGGGGGGACCAGCCGGCCTGCGAGATGCGAGAGTGCGGCGTCCCCGGGGCGAAGCGAAGTGCCATCTTCCAGGAGAGAGGCCATGTTGGATCAAGACGTCCACGCAAAGCGTGGTATCCACTGTAAAAAGGGTGGATACCACCATAAAATTTTGTATAATTTGTATATTTATTATTGGATTTCGTACTTGAATATCAGGATCACGGCCCGTTTTCAAGATGGCCACCGTTTTTGGATATTGAAAGTAAATTTGTCACATCAACTTTAAAGTTATAATCTATTGCTAAATCAGAAACTGAAGGACATGAAGATGTTTGACACAGACTGAGACTTGTCTTAATGGTTAGCATTAGCGTCTGCTAATTTCTTAATGTGCTTAGCGTTAGCTTCTGTTAAATTTTTGTTTTGCATTAGCTTCTGCTAATGTTTTATTGATTCAAAATTGCTTCTGCTTTTGTCTTTGTGCTCAATGTTAGCTTCTGCTAAAATTTATTCATGAGTTTAGTGTTTGCTTTTGCTAATTTGTGTTTAGCTTTCATTAATTGTGTGTTTAGTGGTTTAGCATTAGCTTCTGTTAGGTTAAGCAGCTTAATGTTGTTTCATACATTGTGGTTAGTTGACCCAATTTGAGACAGTCATCTTAGTCATTAGTGTTGGCTTCTGCTAATTTTTTACTGTGCTTAGCATTAGCTTCTGGTAATTTAGGTGCTTAACATTAGTTTATGCTAATATTTAAATATGCTTAGTGGTTTAACCTTTCACTTGTTTTATTATGAGCTTTGCCTTTTAATGTTTGCAGTGCTAACATCCGGTTATTGAATGATCATTGCGGCCATCTTGAAAAATCAA